CTGGGGGTGCTGCGACTGGGGGTGCTGACTCTGGGGGTGCTGCGAGTCCTAGTGGCGGTGGAGTTGTGGGTGACCCTGTTGGAGGTCCTGGAGCTGGAGGTACTAGAGGTGCTTCTGGTGCTGGAGGTGCTAGAGCTACCACTACTGGAGGTGCTGGAGCTGGACAGCCACCGCAGCCTGATCTACTTGAGACACTCTCGCCGCAGGCGATTCGTGCGTGGGTCGTTCGGCGAGGCAGTCCTGGTGGTGGAGGGTACAGTCCTGCTGGTGCTGGAGCTACTAGTCCTAGAGGTGCTGGAGGTGCTGGAGGTGCTGGAGGTACTGCTGGAGGTGCTGGAGGTACTGCTGGAGGTACTAGAGGTGCTGCTGGTGCTGGAGGTACTGCAGCTGCTAGTCCTGGAGGTACTGCTGGAGGTACTGGAGCTGCAGCTGCTGCTGGAGGTACTGGAGCTGCTAGTCCTGGAGGTGCTGCTGGTGCTGGAGGTACTGGAGCTGGAGGTACTGGAGCTACTGGTGCTGGAGGTACTGTGGGTACTGGAGCTGCTGGCACTGGAGGTGCTGGTGCTACTGGTGCTGGAGCTGCGGGAGCTGCTGGTCCTGGAGGTGCTCGTACTAGAGGTACTGGAGCTGCTGGCACTGGAGGTGCTGGTGCTACTGGTGCTGGAGCTGCGGGAGCTGCTGGTCCTGGAGGTGCTCGTACTAGAGGTACTGGAGCTGCCGGAACTTGTGGTGCTGCTCGTACTGGAGGTGCTAATGGAGCTGCTGGCACTGGAGGTGCTGGTGCTGCTGGTGCTGGAGGCGCTGGAGCTGGAGGTACTGGAGGTGCTGGAGCTGCTGGTCCTGGAGGTGCTCGTACTAGAGGTGCTGGAGCTGCCGGAGCAGGTGGTACTGCTGGTGCTGGAGGTGCTGGAGGTGCTACTGGAGCTGCTGGCACTGGAGGTGCTGGAGGTACTACTGGTGTTGGAGGCGCTGGAGCTGGAGCTGGAGGTACTGGAGGTGCTGGAGCTGCGGGTCCTGGAGGTACTCATACCAGAGGTGCTGGAGCTGCCCGAGCAGGTGGTACTACTGGTGCTGGAGGTGCTGGAGGTGCTACTGGAGCTGCTGGCACTGGAGGTGCTGGAGGTACTGCTGGTGCTAGTGGTGCTGGAACTAGGAGCTAGTGGCGCTGGAGGTGCTGGAGGTGCTGGTGCTACTGGTGCTGGAGGTGCTGCTGGGAGTGCAGGTGGAGCTGCTCGTGCTGGAGGTACGGGAGCTGCTGGTGCTCTTCGCCACCTTCTCAGTCTTCCGCCAGGTGCTACTGACTTCCCTGTGGCAGGTACTACTCCTCCGTTACTGTTTCCACCGGCCGACCAGTCTCAGCCGCCACTGCTACCGCACTCCCCACTGCCTTCTCCTACTCCTTACACTGCGGTGACACAGTCCCTGTCTGAGCGTCGAGAGCCTGAGACTCGTGCTTCCACCCCTGAGCGTCGAGAGCCTGAGTCTAGCTTTGACCTTGAGCCTGAGCCTAGAGCTGCTGTCCGTGCTCGTGTTCCTCGTGTTCGTCGTCCGCGTGCTCCAGCTGTCCCAGGCACTCACGATATGACACTACGTCCCTCCTCTGTTCCACAGCATGTTGTCCTGCCGTTACCTCATGCGTCCTCTCTTCCTGACGTTGCTGACCCTCCGTCTGACCTTGCTCGTGCGTCCAGTCCGACTGTTACTCGCTTTCTTGCTACGGTGGTGACTGACCCTTCATTCTCGTTTCCTGCTGCGTCTGCCTTAGTCACTGAGCTCGTTCACTTTGCTGCTGTGTACCGCCTAGACTACCTTGCGAGTCTTGTTTCTGACCCTGTCCCTGCCTGTCCTCCATCCGTCGGGGGTGAGACTGCCCTTGGCTGTACTGCCCTTGGCTGTGACGTTCTTGAGGACAGACAGGAGGATCTGGAGTGCCTTGCGGCCGCTGCACCCCATCTCGCGACCATGCTGCTTGCCCCTGAGGGAGACCCGGATGCACTTGACATCCCCACCCCGCGCTCTTACAGAGAGGCGATCTCGGGTGAGTACTCCTCTCACTGGCAGACAGCCATGGACGCAGAGATGGCTTCCTACGTCGACGAGGTTCCCCCACCTGGGGCGAACATCGTCAGTGGCATGTGGATGTTCAGGGTGAAGCGGCCGTTGGGTTCTCCGCCTGCCTTCAAGGCACGTTACGTTGCTCGAGGCTTCAGTCAGCGTGCGGGAGTCGACTTTTTTCAGACCTTCTCCCCCACCCCAAAGATGACCACTCTTCGGGTGTTACTACACGTTGCAGCTCAGCGTGACTACGAGCTGCACTCCCTCGACTTCTCGACAGCTTTCTTGCAGGGTAGCCTTCACGAGGCCATCTGGTTGCGCCGTCCAGAGGGCTTCACTGGGTCGTTTCCTGAGGGTACCCAGTGGAGCCTACGGCGACCAGTGTGCGGCCTGCGTCAGGCGCCCCGCGAGTGGCACGACATACTGAGGACGACACTTGCGGCTCTTGGGTTTGCTCCTTCGACTGCTGACCCGTCGCTGTTTGTACGCACCGACACTACTCTGCCGCCGTTCTACATCCTTGTGTACGTCGACGACTTGGTCTTTGCTACTGCTGACACTAAGGCATTGGCTCTAGTGAAGGCGGAGCTGCAGGAGAGACACACCTGCACTGACCTGGGTGAGCTGCGAAGCTATCTTGGCTTGCAGATCACCCGGGACAGAGCACAGCGCACCATCACCCTGACTTAGTCACACATGGTGCACCAGGTCCTTCAGCGCTTCAGCTTCACGTGGTCCTCGCCACAGCCCACTCCTCTGTCTACCGGCCACTCGCTCTCAGCTCCACCTTCGGACGAGTCCGTAGAGCCGAGTGGTCCGTACCCAGAGCTTGTGGGTTGCCTCATGTACCTGATGGCGTGCACACGACCTGACCTCGCGTACCCTCTCAGCCTCCTGGCTCGCTACGTGGCACCCGGTAGACACCGAAAGGTGCACTTTGATGCTGCGAAGAGGGTACTGCGTTACTTGTGCAGTACATCGGGCATGGGGCTCGTGCTTGGAGGACGGAGTTCAGTGGTACTCACAGGACACTCTGACGCTTCTTGGGCCGACGACCAGGCGACTCAGCGTTCGTCACAGGGTTACACCTTCAGTCTTGGCTCTGGTTCTGTCTCGTGGAGGTCCACTCGTTCTTCTTCTGTGCTTGGCTCCAGCTGCGAGGCCGAGATCTACGCTGGGGCCATGGCTGCACAGGAGCTACGCTGGCTGACCTACCTGCTGACCGACTTGGGGGAGCGGCCTCGTTCTCCTCCAGTTCTGTACATCGACAACAAGGCAATGCTTGCCTTATGTCGCGAGCAAAGACTGGAGCACAGAACGAAGCACATTGCTCTTCGTTACTTCCTTGCGCGTGAGCTGCAGCAGCGTGGTCAGCTGAGCCTTGCTTACGTGGCCTCTCGCGCCAACACTGCTGATGTCTTCACCAAGGCCCTTGGGTCTGGTGATCATCACCGTTTCTGTACTACTCTTGGGCTTGTGCCCACTCTGCCTCACCTGCTGTTTGCTTGACTTTCTCTTATTGTACACTGATATATAGATCTTTATACCTGCTTGTTCCTCTTGCTAGGTTGTGATCAGTGTACTGCCTTGCTATTATAACTCTGCATGTGAACTGGCCTTGTGGCCGCTTGCTTGTGCTCAGATTGTGTGGTGTCCTTGAGATGCACCCTGAGCTTTGCTTTGCTTTGCTTGTTCTCTTGCTTGACTGGTCTTGTGACCGTCTGTTGTGTTTGCTATCTCCCACTTAGCCTATGGGGGTGTGTCAAACTGTATGTTTGTGTTCTCTCTAGGCTATAGTGGGTTAGCCTACAAGGGGTACAACACTTTAGGGTTAGGTACTTGTACTCATGCATGCTACCTAGTCCATCATTCTTGCCTGCGTATTCTAACACTTGGTCCTTGGTTTCTTCCTTGGCTGATGATGTGTGTATAGGGAACTCTTGAGATTGTTGCTTGTATTGATAATAGTTTGTCGCGCGGCGTTGTTCGCGGTCGTGTGATTGCGCAGCCTTGGAACTGGTAGCCTCGAAAGTACCAGAGTCTCCTTAAAATCAGTTTGTTGCAAACGGAGTTATCGGTAAGCATGACAATGGACCTGAGGTTACAATGCGCGTCATATGAGCACAAAAGTGGTATCCCTCGTATTCCTACTGCCACGTACATCCCGAATCCGTCAAAATATATCGCAACTGACAGGAAATTGAGTGACATTGGGCCTTGTAAAGAGCCGGACAGAATCCATGGTGGAGAGCTAACTTCCATGTCAATTTGTATTGTATTGGTCTGTTTGTCATTGTCAAACAGAGCAGATTTATAAAAATGCGTATGTGCTTTTACATCTTAAAACCACCGAAGGAATTGTGTAAACCAAATTCGTTAGTGTATACTTACTTTAGTGGGTGTGTTCCGAAGTTCTCGCTTGCCCTGGTTCGGCCTACGTTTTTGCCCCGAACCACTTCCCGAGTCGCCACAGCAGGTTTTTCGCCAACTTCCCGAGCCTCTTTACAAGCCATGGTCCCGTGGCCCACGCCTAGCTCGACCCAACCTATTTTATCCTCGTTTTAGACATTCGCAGGACATTCCCTGGTTTTCTAACTTGATTGCATCTGCCACCCTGATGCCACAACTGCCATTCCGCCATTGCGTCTGCAGCAGCTTACCGCCGCGCGCAAGAGACACTGCGAGGTGCATGCGCCATGTGAAAAGAGTGCGGCGGTGCATATCGGACGCCTCGTGCTTACGAGCTCACGCAAGTGAACGATAGTAAAAGCTGATTACCGCTTCTCAGGAGGTCAGTCTATCTCGAGTCTTCCACGGTTTCCGCCCTCACTACAAGTGGTTCCCCAGATTTTGTGCCAAGCCTGCGCGAGGCCCATTTGCGCGAGCAGATGTCGCCGTCAAACTCAAGTAGCAGCAGCTGGCCGTGGTCGCCGCACAGCCGTTCGATGACCAACGAATCCCGACGACGAGTAACTACCCGCTGCGTGTCCCTCTGGCGCAAAGCGAAGAGCGCCGCGTTGGGCAAGGGGAAGGCGGCTGTTAGCAGCGAACGGGGCGCCGGTGAACCGGAAAACCATGCAGACGGCGGGCCGGCTGACGGTTCGTCTGACGCTGCGCATCCTGTCGCGAATCCACCCTGCGAATCGTCGCCCGTCACCTGCGATGTCGCTGAAGACCCGTTGGCGTCGCCGCCAACCCAGGGCGTGTTCGAAAACCTGTCGAGCGACTGCCTGGAAGTCGTTTTTCGTCGCCTAACCGACGCGCGCGACGCCGTGCGAGCGAGCTGCGTGTGCAAGGCGTGGCACAGCACGTTCCACGGCTCCACGCGCCACGTGTCGCTCCAGCTGGACCCCGTCCTGCTGCAGTGGCAGCCGTCGTTCCGCCCCGCCTATGCGCACCTCGATACCGTCACAAGCGCACTCACGCCGGGCATGAGCGGGGAGGGCGGATTGGCAGCAGATGATAATTCCATACCGTTTGGCGGAGAAACGAGCAGCAGTGGAGGCGGATGGACTGGCGCGAGCACGGTTGGGGTGGCGGATGGGGCGGGAGGAGCGGGTGGAGTGGCGGGGTGGTGGGATCCCATGGCGTCAGGCGGGTGGCATGTGAACCACACCGACCGCTTCGACTGCAACAGCCTCGCCCGCCCCGGCTGGATGGCCCACGAGCCCTACCATCGCTCCTTCTCGCCAAACCTCATCCGAGCCTTGCTCCGGCAGTTCCCGAACCTCACCTCCGCCTGCCTGCCCGTAACTGTGCGCGGCAGCGAAGCAACCGACATGCAACCAGTGGTAACCACCTTAGCATCCTGCAGTGCCCTCCGCTCACTGCACATGCAGGTGAACGCGGGGCAAAGGGCCAGCGACCCTCCCCCACGGCTCGACTTGACTGCCCACGTGGCAGCGCTCCTATCCGCCCTGCCCTCCCTGCGCGCCCTCTCCCTGCAGTCCGCACACTGCTTCCTCCGCCCCTCGCCCCCCCTGCTCGCCGCCTTCTCCCGCCTGCGCCACCTCGCTCTCCCCGTGCTCCACCTGCCCGCGCCCCTCCTCGCCCTCACAGGTCTCTCCTTGCTCGCCCTCGCCATGCTCTGCCCGCCCTACCCTGCGCTGCTCGCCTCGCCCGCGCCCTTCCACCGCCTCACGCGCCTCTCATCCCTCTCGCTGCATCTCAGCGCCAGTGATGACTGCCATCCCTGCCCCATGTGCACCATCAGCGATACTGCCCATGACAGCACCAACGGCAGCAGCAACAGTGCCAGCACTGCCACACCCTCAACCTCTCTCGCCCCTCTTCCTCCCCTGACTGACCTCTTCTCCGGCCTCTCTCCTTCCCTCACATCCCTCACTTACTCCCCCCCTGCGTTTCCTCCCCCCGCGCCCACCTCTCTCCCCGCCTCGCTCATCAACCTCACAGCCCTCCGCACCCTCCGACTGCTCGCCCCAACCGCCGCCACTACTGCGCACTTCTGGGGGGACCTGGATGGCCTTTCGCGTCTCACCCAGCTCACCTTCCTGGAGCTTTCCTGTGTGGCGGGGAATGCAGTGCCGGCGTCGCTGCAGGGGATGCCGCTGCTGGCGCACCTGGTGCTGCCGTGGGCTCAGAGCGACCCCGCACGGGTGGTGCCCTCGCTGAGTGCTCTGAGGGAGCTTGAGATCGGCACAGGGGCACTTAGAATCGAACCACAGGTGGAAGCAGCGACAGCAGGACAGGCAGAGCAGGCAGGGCAGGGAGCAGAAAGAGCAGAAAGCACCTCGAATCCCGCAACCAGCATCATCGTCCATGCCCTGTCTGAGCCATGTCAACCCACTGCCACTGTCGCCGCACTTCCCTTGATGCTGCCCCCCAGCCTCACATCCCTCAGACTACTCCACACGGACCACCGCCCCCTCCACCTGCCCGCCCTCGCCTGCCCCTCGCTGCGCCGCCTCTCCTTCTCCTTCAACGTCGAGCTCGCCGCCCGCGTGCCGCCCCACGCCTGCTTCTTCCCCAACTTGCAATTCCTCGAGCTCTTCCGCGTGGAGGGGTCGTTCGGGTGGGGCAACGGGCAGTGGCTCGGGGCCATGCCGAGCCTCACGCACTTCATCAGCCGCTGCCCCAAGCGCAACCACTCCTACCTGCTCCACAGACTCGCACCTTCCTTGAAGTTTCTCCACCTGGAGGACCCCTCTCCCAAGGTCCCGCTGGTGGTCCTCCCCTCCCTCACGTCCCTCACTATCGACAAGTACTGTGACGTGAGTGCGCTGCTCTCCTCCCTCGCCGCCTTCTCCGCCCTCCACACGCTGCGCTTCAACTGCTTCTCGCAGGTTGCGGCCGACAGAAAGCTCTCTCCGGGGCGAGTTGGGCGCCCGCCGGCGCTCAGAGTGCTGCAGTTCAGATTCTCTCAAATCCACGCGCTGCCGGAGTTTGTGAGAGGCTTCATGAGCGTAGTTAGAGTTGATCTGATCAACTGTGGGCCGCTGGAGGTGTGGCCGGAGTTTTTGGCTAAGTTCCCGGCGTTCCACTGCTTGCGAGTGAGTGGGTGCTCAAAACTCCCCCCTCCTCCCCCTTCACTGGTTCCCCTGCTGGTGCCGGCCAGATAGGGGGTTGGGCTGTGACAAGGCTCGTGGCAACTGAATGGAGCAAATGAGGTGAACGTGCCATGGTGGTAGGGTTGAGGAGCAGGCCTCAGATTCACTTTTACATTGTGTTCCTACGCCTTGTATCAAGCAACCTCGTATCAGACTTGATAGTCTAGGGAATGATGGATTAGGTCAAGTGAGGGGTACAAGGAACCGCCGATGAGATTTATGTACCCCCTAAGGCTAATGTAAGGAAATGTAATTCCTTGCTGTACCCGCGCTTTAGCGAGTACTGTTGAAATATATTTCTTATATAAACTGCTTGTAGCAGTAGTTAGTGTAGTGTTACATTGGTGGTGCACCTCATTCCCTTGTCCCATGCACTATATCTTGTATCTTGCTCATTAGTGAATCACCTTTCTCCTTTGCTAAACTCTCTCGATACTCATGCTTGTACCCAAAACCCTAGCTATGGCTACTAAGGTCTAGCTACTGTTTTGACATGGTACCAGAGCACATCGATCCTGGGCCTACTGCTAGCTTCCGTTAAATGCGTTATTCTGCTGCCCGTCGCGCGCCCCGGGCGTGCGGCGATTTCGTGCCCGTCGCGCGCCCCGGACGCGCGACGGTTTCCTGCTCGTCGCGCGCCCTGCCCGTCGCACGCCCCGCGCGCGCGTCGGGGCGCGCGACGGTTCTGCCTGTTGCGCGCCCTGGACGCGCGACGGGTTCTGCCCGCCAGCGCGCCCTGCCGTCGCCCGCGCAGCTCCTACCCCGCCCCCCCCCCCTTCTCCTTCATCTCCCTGCTGCACGTGCAGCAGTGGGGGGGAGGGTATGGGGATGGCGGGTGTGAGTGATCTGCTGCCGCCCCTCCTCCTCTCTCTCCCACTGCCGCACATGCCGCTGTGGGGGGGGGAGGGTGTGGGGGAGACGAGGGAGTGGCGCTAGGGATGCAGAAGGGGGTGTGGAAAGGGGGTGTGGGACGATGGGGGGAGGTTGAAAGGAGGTAGCCGCCATGAAGCCAGCAGCTCCAGTAGTCCGGATGCCCTTGCTCCGGTAGCCCGTGAGCCCGTTGCTCCAGTCGCCCATGGGTCAGTTGCTCCAGCCGCTCGTCTAGCCGCGGAGCCAGTTACTCCATTAGTCCGGATGCCCTTGCTCCGGTAGCCTGTGTGCCAGTTGCTCCAGTCGACCGTGTGCCAGCAGCTTCAGCTGCCGCCTCCTTCCTCCTCTCCTCTCATTGTCCTTCCTCCTCCTCACTTGCCCTCTCCTTCTCCTACGCTTGGTGTACCCCTTCAGGGGGTGTCTCTGCATTAGCTTCCTGCTGCAAGCAATTTAGGGGGTGTGTTGAAATATATTTCTTATATAAACTGCTTGTAGCAGTAATTAGTGTAGTGTTACATTGGTGGTGCACCTCATTTCCTTGTCCCTTGCACTATATCTTGTATCTTGATCATTAGTGAATCACCTTTCTCCTTTGCTAAACTCTCTCGATACTCATGCTTGTACCCTAAACCCTAGCTATGGCTACTAAGGTCTAGCTACTGTTTTGACAAGTACAATTCCAGGGCCACTTGGTTCGGCCTACATTTCCGCAACCAAACCACTACCGAGTCGCCCCCGCTCCAATCGCAACACTTTCCCGAGCCATCCTCGCCCGACCTTTTCGCTTGGCTAGGTTTTCCCCTATTTATGTCTCGTCACTTTTATTGTATCTGCATTCAGTAATTCAGTATTCTCGGTATTCGTTATTCTGCGCACTCTGCAAGTTTATTCAAAACAGCTAACCCCAACATAGCTTAAGTACACATGAAGAGATAGGTTTTGACACGCCTAAGGCATAGTGGGGGATACCCAGACCTAAGCAATGGTCACAAGAATAGTGAAGAATTGCAACAATGCAAAGCTCAGGGTGCATCACAAAGTTACCACGCGGTCCAAGCACAAGCAAGTGGCCACAAGGGCAGTTCACATGTAGTGTTATAAAAGTACAAGCACAGGTACAGTGATCACAACCTAGCAAGAGTAAGCATGGTATAGATATATAGATCGCAGTACAAGACAAGTCAAGCAGTAAGCAAGTGAGGCAGAATAGGCACAAGGCTTAAAGGAGTGCAAAAGCGCTTATGATTACCACTCACAAGTGCCTTGGTGAAAATATCAGCGGTGTTGGCCCGTGAGGCCACGTAAGCAAGACGAAGCTGACCACGCTGCTGCAACTCCCGTGCGAGGAAGTAACGCACAGCGATATGCTTCATTCGGTGCTCCTGTTTCTGCTCCCGACACAAGGCAATCATGGCCTTGTTGTCGACGTACAGGACTGGAGGAGAACGAGGCCGCTCACCCAATTTTGTCAGTTGGCAGGTCAGCTAGCGTGCCTCCTGTGCAGTCATGGCCCCCACGTAGATCTCAGCCTCACAACTGGAGCTGAGAACAGAAGACAAGCGAATAGACCTCCAAAAGACTGAACCGGAGCCAAGACTGAAAGTGTAACCCAGTGAAACCGCTAAGTCTCCTGGTTGTCTGCCCAAGAAGCGTCTAAGTGCCTAGTGAGCACAACTGGACCCCGTCCTCCAAGCACAAGCCCCATGCCTGATGTACTACATAAGTAGCATAGTGCCCTCTGCGCAGCTGCCTTTTGCACTTTCCGGTGTCTACCGAAAGCAACGAAGCGAGCCGGGATGCTGAGAGGGTATGCGAGGTCAAGCTGAGTATAAATCATAAGGTACATGAGGCAACCTACAAGCTCTGGATACGGACCATCCGGCTTTACGGACTCGTCCAAAGGTGGAGCTGAGAGCAATTGGCTCGTAAGCAGAGGGGTGGGTTGTGGCGAGGAGAACAGAATGCGGAAGCCCGTCAGGAACTGCTGCACCATGTGTGTCTGGCTCAGATTGATGGTGCGCCTTGCTCTGTCAAGTGTGATCTGCTAGCCAAGATTGTTGCGCAACTCATCCAGATCACTGCAAGTGTGTCTCTTCTGCAGCTTCGCCTTCACAAGGGCCAGTGCCTTAGTGTCAACAGTAGGAAAAACCAAGTCGTCGACGTACAAGAGGATGTAGAACGGCGGCAGAGAAGGGTCGGTGCGCAGAAACAACGACAGGTTAGCAGTCGAAGGAGCAAACCCAAGAGCCGCAAGCATCATCCTCAGTGTGTCGTGCCACTCCCGAGGCGCCTGGCAGAGTCCGTTGATGGCCGCCAGAGGCTACACTAGGTACCTTCGGGAAACGACCCCGCCAGATGGGCGGCACAGCCAGATCTTCTCATGAAGGCTGCCCTGCAGGAAAGCTGTGGAGAAGTCAAGCGAGTGGTGCTCGTAGTCACGCTGTGCTGCATGCAGTAACACCCGAAGAGTGGCCATCTTTGGTGTGGGAGAGAATGTGTGGAAGAAGTCAACTCCCTGTTGCTGACTCAAGGCTCGTGCAATGTAACGCGCCTTGAAGACAGGCGAAGAATAACGTCGACGTAGGTGCCTGTGGACTTCCAGGATGTCATCTCTGCATCCATGGCTGTCTGCCACTGAGAGAAGTACTGACCCAAAATCGCCTCTGCGTAAGAGCGCGGGGTCGGGATGTCCAGTGCATCCGGGTATCCCTCAGGGGCAAGCAGCATAGCAGCATGATGAGGTACAACTGTTGCAAGGCACTCGAGCTCAAACTGCCTATCCTCAAGGACGTCAATGCTAAGGGCAAGCTCACTCCTGACGGACGGAGGACAGCCAGAGTAAGAAACAAGACTCCCAAAGTGGCAGGCAGCAGCAAAGTCAACGAGCTCAGTGACTATGGCAGACACAACAGCAGACTTAATGGTGGGGTTAGTGACAAGCGTGGCTGGACAACGAGTGACAGTAGGACGAGCAGCACGAACAAGGCCAGACTTAGGGTCAGGAACGCCAGGAAGAGAGGACGCTGGAGGAGACGACAAGGCAACACGTTGTGAAACAAAGGAAGGACGAAGTTTCATAGTGTGTGTGCCGAGAACAAGCGGAGGGCGAACACGAGGAGCCTGACAAATAGTGCGAACAGGGAGGCTTGACGAGACGCAGGCTCACGACGCTCTGTCAGAGAGTCTGTCTGTTCAGTGTAAGGAGGAGGAGCAGGCAGTGGGGAGTGAGGCTGTAACTGTGTCTGAGACTTGTCAGGCGGAGGACACAGTAGGGGAGGAGTAAGGTAGTGGACGACGAAGGACTAAGAAACTTGGCGAAGTGCCAAGCCATGTGGTTGCAGTGACGATTCGGCTAAGGCCAAAAACGGTCGCCGCTATATAGGTTGCGTAGCACCTCCAGCGCTAGAACCTCCAGTATCCCCAGCACCAGTACCTCCAGCTCCACGAGCAGCAATGCCTCCAGCTCCAGCATCTCCAGCTCTAGTATGTCCAGCACCACCAGCGGCAGTACCTCCATCTCCAGTACCTCCAGCTCATGTACCTCCAGCACCTGCAGCCTCAGTACCTCCTGCTCCAGTACCTCCAGTTCCTCTGGCTCCAGAGTGAGCGACTGCAGGCTCAGTACCTCCAGTGGCAGCACCCCCACGCTTAGCACCCCCAGAACCAGCACCTGCTCACACAGCTGCTACGGCGAGAGTATCTCCTGCAGACACGACGGCAGCGGCTGTGCACCCCCACGCTCAGCACCCCCAAAGTTAGTACTCCCAGGCTCAACACCCCCAGAATCAGTACCTCCAGTGGCAGCACGGCGTACTACTACCCACTCACACAGCTACTGCACTGAGAGAGTCTCTTGCGGACGTGACGGCAGCTGCAGCCCACCTCCAGAGGAAACACCTCCAGGATCAGCACCTTCAGGCTCAGCACCCCGAGAGCCAGCACCTCCAGCGTCAGCACCCTCAACGCCCACACCTCGAGCGCCACCACCTCCACTAGCACCGGAGTCCACAGCGGTGTCATCAGCAGCATGGTCTCAGCTGGGCCAGAGGAGACCTCCAAAGGCTCAGCCAAGGGGGTTGGTGTGACCTAAGACACACCTGAGGGAGCAGGACGCGAGGGGGGGTGGGGGTCTACCGAGGGGT